CAGCAAAGCATGAACTGCGTCCCTTCGGCAGTTCGTGATTTCACACCGTTTTTTTTTTAACTTTTTTTTATTTGCATATGGCTTTTACAGTATTTTGTTTAGTCTTTTTGTCCTTCTTCCAGTAAAAATAAGGGACAAAACTGCTTGTATAACAGATGAAAACGATAATGAGCGTGTTTTGTTCCAAGTTGATTTGTATACTTTACAATACTGTACATACCATATAACTTGAATTATAAATATGCATTTTTTTGTACAAAATTCGTTGATGCATTTTAGGGAAATCGATCTTGCAAGTAAAATCATTTAACTTTTCAGTGTTTTGATCGTGCTTTCTACAGGTTTACCCCTACTTATCGATTTTTGTTACGGTATAACAATAAACGATCCATTTAAAATATTTATTTCTAAATCAAATACAAACCAACTAAATAAATAAAGATAAACAAAACAGAAAAAAGAAAAAGGCACGACTCTCCAATATATATTTATATGATTGAATGGTTTGTTGAGGATAACCTAAATAATATGAAATAGGATGTACGAAATACCTATAAGTTGGTATACACGGTTTGATTGTTTTGTTTTGTTTTTTTGCGTGAATTTCCTACGGGGTTCACGCCTACATATTGGTAAGTTTTGCCAGCTTCTATACGCTATTCAGATATCCTCGGAAACAAGATGCTTGGAACGTCTCGAAAATTTTCAATCATTTATACAGTTATCTGGGTCTTTGATATTGTCCCTCTATGGGCATACATTCACTACCACGTGATATTGTATAGTTCAACAATCGATGTCCATTTGTAGATCGGAAAATAAAAAAAGTTAAGACTAGATTGCATAAAAAAATCATTGGTATATTCGAACTGTATTTGCCTTATGACAGAACATAGACGTTTTGATGTGAGTGTTTATTAGATATCAAGTATCATTTGAGTATAGTGATAACACAGATACTACCAGAAGTTAAAGTAAAAACCAAGGGAATATTCATGAAATTTGTTAAGTTTTAACTGGAACTAAGTATATCATTTGTGCTGTATTTAGACCCCTCTAACAAGAAATTTGTTTTGCATGCACACGTATAAAAATTGCGGTTTTTATCCAACGCAATCATAGGTTTGAACGTTGTTTTCAATTTAGACTTGTTTATTAATAGAATATATATAGTGATGTTATATTATGTCCTACAATTTTCAACAGTGAATACGTTTATGAACATTATATCAACATACGAGCACCAATTATCAAGGATGCAAGTTAGACTTGAAGGAGAGATTGATTCGATGAAATGTCCATCAGTAAATACTTGACGTTTGTGTATATTGAAAGTATATATTGAATTTTCGGGAAAAAAATTATTAACAGAAATGTATGTAAATAAAATTTCATTTTACAGTTACACCTTATAGCTTCGTACTTTTTTGTATATATGTGACTGTATAATAATATTTACTTAACTTTTCTACAGTTTATATGAAGGAGCATAAAGTTAGCTCAAGTAAGATATTCTGTATTTGATTTTAATGAAGATAGATTATTCTTTTGATATGAATCATTGTTTATTAAATTAAACAGATGCGTATGAAATATATCATATTGTTTAGTAAAACGTTTTACAGGTATTTTGAAGAAATTTCATATTTTCAATAAAGGTGTTTTAACATCACCATAATATCTTATTTACAATCAATCAATTCAAATCAAAAAAAAAAAAAAAAAAACAGAAACAATTTTTTGGTGAACAAAAGACAAAAACTTGTTATTTTTTTTTAATCCAGGCAATAATGTTTAATATGTGTTGCGTTTATAAGAATGACAATGCTTGTTATGATAGAAAATCCTTGCGTTCATTAAAGGATAAAATAAATAGGAGCTGTAACGTTACAATCATGCAACAGTGTCTTAGTTTCACTCTTAATGGCTTCTGTTTTTTTTTTAATTTATAACAATGTGCATGTTTGGCAATAGATTGCATCAAAATTATATTGACACTGCAAGGTAAAAGGTAAAATTAATGTAGGTTAAAAATATCAACACTGCACACAGATGATTAAAACGTCAATACAAAATCAAAATTAAAACAAACAAGTACTATCTTTAAAAAAAGATATCTGACGCATTCAGATGTGAGCATAGAATTTTATCTTTATCATTTTTTTTTATTATTGTTAATAAAATTGCACACAATTTGACGACAAAAGGCTGACGATTCTAAAAGTTGAGGATATGCACTTTTTTCTAAAGAATTAAAAAATATACTGCATGGTACTTAATTAAATGTATATATATAGGTATTTTTCAGAGATAAAGAAGTACCTAGTATAACTGTGAAATAAACATAAACATGAGATATTAGTAGATACAATCTGTAATGAATAACAAGCTTAAAACAGTTTAGATTCATGAAGAAATGGCAATTATAACTATATGTCAAGAATAACTTTAACAAGTAGAGATACAACCTATTTCGGTGTGCATATTGGGGACGGACGGACGCCAAAGGAAGATGATCTATATAATACAGCTTTTGACAAGTAATTAAATTTGCGATATATGTATTTTGACAATTTTTATTTCAATTATAATATTTTGTACTCTTTGGGATTATTATTACGCATTGGAAGCTTTAGTCGATAAGATATATTTATAACACTCGAGCTATTACAAAAATGTATTAATAGCCTAATATTGACCTGGTTGATCTAATGAACCGGTCAGTGATATTTACCTACTCATGTATTAAAGGCTAAGCCTACAAAATCAAACAATTTAACAGTGGTGATAATGGCACCTTCTTTATCTGAATTTACTTTTATTTATCTGGATAATTTCATTTTTAAGTTTGATTTTAAGTTCGTAATGTTCTCCTTTTATTGTAGCATATATCTTTTTTTGTTGGTTTTTGTTCAATTCCATTATTTCGTCCAATCAGAATAAAGATTTGTGACATCATGCATGCCGTTACCATAGTGAAGTGTTCTTTTTAGATGGGTCACACACCGAAATTATACTGACGATCACATTTTTTTCTTGAAACGCAGATGCCAATAAACGATCAGCATTTGTATGAATTGCACATCTACTGTAAATATTGATTATTGAACTTCTTTACATCAACACAATGCTGATTATTTTCAAACCCAGGATAACCCATGACAACCTTATTTCCAATGGGGCCCTTTATAAGTTCCAGCTTAATGCGAGTAAATCTAACATAAGCGTAAACACGGTTATTATATAAAAAAAAATATGTATTGAATCATTCAGAAAAAATACTGAAAATCTTTCACGTTCTTTATCATGTTTATAAATGAGGAGACGTGGAATGATTGCCAATGAGACCATGGAGGATTGCTGCATGATTGTACAGCACCTAATTTATTTGTTACAAATATGTCTGCCAACAAACGGTTTTGTTAAGTGTCATTTGTAATTGTTTCTTAAATGCTTGAGATTAACAATCATACATGTAGCTGAGAAACAGGAATTGTACAAATGACCGGTAATGGACATTTAAGCGAAATGGCAGCTAGAACATTTGAGCGATAAAAAAAAATGACGTTTGAGCACCAAAGTATACTAGGACATTTTAGTGCCGAAATTTTAGGATATTTGAGTGAAAATAAAAATAAGCATAGGACATTTGAGCAAAATAATTTAAAGAAAGATGAAGGAGTACCTCTTCCGTTCTCCAGATATAATCTGTTACCCCTCCCCACCACGGGGAGGTGGAAGTAGAATTTCGAGAATTATAGTTAATAAAATGTGGAGTTTATAACGCACACAGTTAAAACATCTTTTAAATGTAAAAAAAAACAAAACTCTGTCATAAAACTTAAAACTCGGCAATGGCATTATTTACAAGTGAGTAATAAGAAATTTAGAACAAAGAAAATTTGCATAGCCAATGAATTATAGTAGAATGGATTGGTAAGTGTAGAGATTGCGACTACTATAAACCAGACTCAAGCTAGCAGCCACTCGCTAGCAGCCACTACGCTAACAGCCAGTTTTAAGATACATCTAAATACCCAAAAGATGCATAAGATTCAAACTCAACAGAATTGTTTTTAAAATATATCAAACTATGAAATTGTAAAATTAAGAAAACAAAGGTATACATGTCCCTCATCGAAGTATAATGATAACTACGGGATAACCGAATCGTCCTATTGTGTTGCTCATTGTAAGGGTTAGAAATATTATTAGTTATCTGGTGTAATCAGAGGTGTACGGAATTTTACACCGTTGTTGAAAATTCATACACCTATTCGGCGCAGGGGTGTACGGAATTTTACCTCGTTGTTGAAAATTCATACACCCTGAGGCGCAGCCGAATGGGTGTATGAATTTTTAACAACGGTGTAAAATTCCGTACACCGCTGATTACACCAAGATAACGAATTTATTTCCAACAATTATGAACAATTCCTTTACCCATTTTTAAACCGGGATGTAAAATTGAAAAATGCTAATGAAAAATTTCCAGTGTAACATTTTTTCAACGTCGATGTTGCTGCGCATTGTTAAATACTTTTTTTCTTTATTTTTTGGGAAATTCAGAATTTTTTTGTGTTCTTTCGAATATTAATTTTCGGGGGAAAAAATTAAAAATTGAGACTCTTTAGACCTACGTTTGGTCCTCTGGTGAAGACAAACCATGAATTGTCCCATCTGGGCCTTTTGGCCCAATGGACCTTAGACCTTTACCTATCATTTGAATTTAGTGCGTAAAAAATCATTGCCGTAGGGAATTTTTGACAGACATTTAAAAAATACCGGGGTAGGCATCTAAGACTCTTTAGACCTAACTTTGGACCTATGGTGAAGACAAACCATGAGTTGTCCCACCTGGGTCTTTTGTGTGTTATTGTAGTTTCTCTGAGATCAACTCAGGACTACACTACCATTAACTAGCCAGAACCGGTCGAATTACTCGGGTGTAAAATCAAATAAAATATATTTGTTTTAAAAAACTCACTCTTATCTCTTACCTTTTAAAAATATTTTCTTAATTCATATAAAAGTATCACAGGAAATTTCAGGTACAGTTATTATTCCGGCGCTAAAATGTCCTATGATGTCGGCGCTCAAATGATCCTAGTATGTGCATTTTTTTTTCGTCCAAATGTACTATGCCAACAAATGACATAGTAGGAAGGCCGTACAAAAGTCCTGTCTTTCAGCAGGTAAACAGTTTTCTTTTCTATACATAAACCTTAATAAAACGAAAATACACGTTTTTAATAATATTGTTGACTTTAATTTAACCGGATATTATAATCTAAGTTTGTAGTTTATGGAGAATTAAGGTTATGATATGCCCTACCTTATTTGTATGCGTGACCAAGCCAATCCTGTTACTAAAAACCAGAGCCTATATAAACTGGGTTTTTTTTAGATAGAGAGATGATTCGGTAGACAAAAATAACCACACATAAATAGAATTCAAAATTTAAATAAAAATTCTGGCTCTTTTAAAAGTAGTTTTGCAATTTTGACTTTAACAGTCGTAACTTTTACTCCAGAGGGAAAGTTAGGATTTTTAATATCAAAATTAATATTTAAAATCTCGATGTTCAACCCTTATAAACTCAATTTTAGGCTTGAAAGTGATTTTTTTTTTACTTTTAAGGTCTTGAAACGTCGATCTATAATATAAAACTCTATAAATATAGAAATATGGGAGACGGATTTATATAAGTTTTTCCAAACTTGTTTCCGAATCCCATATTTGAACTTTATCTAACATTGTATTGTAATATTTTATTCATGTAATTTTTCATTAATAAATACTGTTTAAACTAAATATAGACAGTGCAATTTCCCTTAGGAACTCCTTTTACGACTACATTGTAACACTGTACCACTTTTACTATGAAGTTTCGTAATTTTTTTTATCCTAGAATGGAAAGTATGTATGCACTACTATTTTTTCAAAGGTCAAAACATAGGGATGTGCGACATATTTTTAACATTTATATACCTCGAACTTCTAAGAGTTTAAACTTAAACTAAAATTCTGTACTACCCCTCCCTTCACATTAAATTGGCGTCTTCCTTATAATTCAATTTGGCCGGTATTTATGTGTATTTATACTGGTAAAATTCTCAAGTTTCTCTATGAGATGAAAATAGAGATCTTAACTGGGAACCAGTAGGTGGCAAAACAAAATATCTCCCAAAAAGAGGCGTGGTTTGTGAAACAGCTGTATTTACAAAGTGCAACCTCAGGCTTTAGGAAAGCCTTATCCTTATGAGTTTTTTACACGTGTTCAACAACGTCTTCATGTTGTCTTTTTGTGTAAATCGGCATTTCTGCGTAAAATATGGTATGAGTGTAAATTCTTATTTCATAGGAATAAGTATATTTAATGCAATTTTTATCTTACTGTGAGAAAAAGATTTGAGCTAGATGTTTGTATTAGAGCACACTTAATTTTAAACCCGTACATTATAGGAAAATATAAAGTTTGTGCGTACGAAGTTTAGAAAAGCGAGGTTCGTCTTTTCGTAACGAATAAAAAAACTTTTATGGTTTCTGATTACTGGGCATGATGTGTCGGAGTATTACTATTAGAGATTTACAATAACTGTACGACTCGGAGTCCGAGTACGAGTACGACTACAAATCATAGTAAGCTGTAGGGGTGATCTCAAAATAATGTGTACGCTAATTTTACCGTGTTCAATCTTTGTGTGGTGATAGAACAAAAACCATTTATCAAATTAATTGACTGTTTTTTTCTGAAGGTGAGAGAGTGCGCTCTTCGTTTAAGCTCGCTTACAGATATGTTCAGAGTTTAAAAACTTTCACGACAAATATGTATTGCTCCAGTTATATGATAATGTTTACCGATGACATAAAAAAAAACTTTTTCAAGTTTAAAAAATGGTTCTTTCATAACTGACGAATTATTTAAAAGGGAATTGGATAATACTATTGTTTTTTTTTTTTTTGGGGGGGGGGTTATTTATTTTGTTTCTACTGTGTATAGTCTTGGGGAATAGTACGGAGCACCTTAAGTGCTATGTAAATGTAAATATTTTCGTTTGCCGGAGCAAACCAGTTTGAAAAACCGTGCGCACACCTTTCAAACAACTGGTGCGCATGACTTTAAAACTCGTGCGTACGACTTTCAAACTCGTGCACACGACTTTCAAACTGATGCGCACGACTTTCAAACTCGTGCGCAAGTTCGTACAGTCAGTCAAACTTTGTTTTAAAGTTATGCGCACGAGTTTGAAAGTCGTGCACACGAGTTTTAAAGTAATGCGCACCAGTTTTTAAAAGTCGTGATCACGAGTTTCCAGGTCTTGCGCATGAGTTTAAAAGTCGTGCATAACAGTTCCAAAGTCGTCCGCATTATCCAACTGGTGCGCACCAGACTAAATTTCCGTCAAACTAAAATATTTATATTTATATAGCATTTAAGATGCTCCGTATATACGTAGTAATGCATACTCCTGTTCGCATTGATTTTGTTACGTTTTTTTTCGGGGGGGGGGGGGGGGGGGTATTTTCTTGTAGCTTCAAGATTAACAAGATCATCATACATATTTTCTGCAGTTCTGGTTATAGCATTATATGTGGCAATTTCTTCAGCGTTCGCTGTAGCATTGCTTGTATTTATATCTCCATTGTCAGGCCCATTATCTATTTTTCGAAATTCAGGTTCCTCTACTGCTCATACAGGAGTGGGTGACTTCTGATCTTCGTCAAGAGAAAGAGGTTAAATTATTTCATCAGCCAGCCCGATATACACCAGACAGAAGATAACCAGAAAGCCGCCATACAAAAAAAGAGAAAGTGTAGGAGGGTCAGATTCATTGCAGAATACCGAGTCTCCGTTGAACATGTTATTGGCAAATTGAAATGTTATAAAGTCACGGGACTCGTTGGTGGCTTCCTCGTCACACACTTAAAGCTATAATTAAAGTTTGCGGCAGTCATTGTTTTGTCAATCGCAGAACACAACTTTTCAATTAATGCTTTAATGATTAAAGTACATTGTTTACAATAATTTCATTATGTTGAGATCGCCCCCGTCATTTAAACGGTCTTACTCTGACTCGTATTCGGACTCGGGTCGGAGTCCTACATTTATTGTAAATCTCTATTAGTGTATCGGACTTAATTAATGTCGTATCATTAACTCGATCTTGCTATCAGAGTTCAACATCAATGCAATCATCAGTTCAATAAAACATATTTTTCGGATTTTGAATAGTTAATTCCCGTCGTTAAAAAACCTAAAGACCGGGTGTTTCTAACCAATGTTCCCGTGCGTTGCTATCTTTTACTCCAGGGAACTTCACGCGCGTTTTCCTTAATTCCGTGGTTGTTCCCAGTGAAAAAATAAATTCTGTAGATTATCCATGAAGTGTGTAATAAACGATTTACTTTTATTATGCCGATCATTGGCATTCATTTAGTAAATGCATCACTTGGCTACCATGTCGTCAATGAACGGCACTATGCAAAAGACAGTTGACGTCACGCCGTCTATGACATAACGCTTGCGACATCGAGCGCTAAATTTGAATTATTCTAGTTTCTTTATCTCTGGATTAAAAACGTCTTATATCCGACTACCTGTAGGGTTACCGTACCCTACATCCCGTAAAAATATGTCAAATTTTCAAATTTCAAAAAAGTTTTTTAAGTAATAAAAAAAAATCATTGTTTCCACTTTAAATTTTGTGCCCGAATTTCCCCCAAAATCGCCCGGTTCGGACTAAGACCGGGGATAAATTCGTTATAGATCTACGTTCATATCCGTAGATATGGGTATTTTAACTCTCTTCAGTACCCTGTACACTCGTACTTCAGTGTGTTAAAATACCCATATCTACGGTTATTAACGTAGATATCTTATATTTGATTTGTCGGTCCGTTTACATAGAGTCCTTTTACGTAACCTCGTAAAGTTTTTATGCTTATCCATATTCAATCAAACTCCATATAATATTTTCTTTTCATAAATTGTCAAGCTGAAATTTGAAAGTGGAAATAGCAAAGTTGGGATATCGGATTTTAAAATGTTTAAACTTTCCGTTTTTAATATTCTAAAGTTTAAAAGTTTAATAGTCAACATTTCCTCAACGTCAGATATCAAGATTAAAAAGGAATTTCTAACTCAAATCTTCATTATAATATATTTAATTAGAAATTTCAACTTTGAACTAAAAAAAACTGTCTACTATGAATGTATGTCTCTTATGCATTTCCATAGTAACATATTGTGTTAAAAGATAACTAATTTCAGTAATTGTCTAGTCGAAAGTGTGCTAGTGGTTGTGCTACCACAGGGATTGAATATGCGTCTAGTGCAAGGTAGTCGAAGACTCTACTCTGCCACTGGCTAGCCTACTTGTAGGTGAAACAGAAAGCCGAGCGCGTCAGTCTTTCTTGCCAGTACAAAGCCTCTACCAGTCTAAGACCTCTGCAGTGCCTCCCAGCGACAGCACACGGTAACTAGGGTCTAGTATCCTAGGCTAAACTGCAGAGGATCTTGGAGTAGCAAGGACCCCAGAGATGTAGTGTGTAGGCCCACCGGTGTGTGGATATGCCCTAACACTCATCAACCTTGCCCCAGCTATGGGTAAATAGCCGGCCAGATAGGGGTTGTAAGCCAGGTAAGGCAACCTGTCTAGGAGAGAGAACTCTAAACAAACTGGGTAGATCACCACTCATCAGCCCAGTAAGGCAACTGATCTAGAGGAAAGGAACCTCAACGACAAAACCCCTGGTCCTCCAAGTTGGGGGTTAAGCATGAGGCTAATAACCTCATCTTATAAAACAACAACTTATTACAGAAATCAACACAAGAAATCAACAAACAGCAGGTATCCATGAGACGACGGGCTGCACAGGCAGCAGTATGACTGTACGAGGAGAAAGCCCAACTCGGGAGGCCTTGGACAGGAACGAATCTTATGGATCCAAAAAAGACAATTAAGATTGGCGCGTGGAATGTGAGAACTATGTTCCAGGTCTCATTAACTGCACAAGTTATAAGAGAGACGGAAAGGTAACAACTAGGAATATTAGGCATCATTGAATGCATGTGGACAGTCAGGAAAAATAATCACACAGGGTCATACCATCATATACTCCGGCAGAAATGACAACCAACATACAGAAGGAGTGGCAATCATTATGAATAAGGAATGTACAAAGAGCTTGATAAAATGGAAACCTA